TCCAATAATCCAAATGAATGGAATTTCGCTCGCCGGGGCCATCCCGGAGCCAGGATCCAAATCGACCGTGTCGCTGACGGCGGACGTGTCGGTGAAAAACCCCAACACGGCGATGTTCAAGTACAGCAACACGACGACGACTTTGTACATCGGGGAGACGGTGGTCGGGGAGGCGAGAGGACCGTCGGGGCAGGCCAGGCCGCATCGGACGGCACGGATGAACATAACCGTCAACATCATTGCCGAACTGCTGCTGTCGAACATCAACGTCAGCGCCGGGACGCTGCAGTTGAGAAGCTTTTCGAGGATTCCGGGGAGGGTGAAGATGTTGCATTTTATAAGGAAACATATTGTTGTGAAGATGAACTGTACGGTGGTTATCAATGTGCTGAGCCGATCGATTGAGGATCAGAAATGCATGAAGAGGGTGAAGCTATAGAGTTTCAATAACGGCGGCCAATGGTGAATTGCTTTTGATCAATGGTGAGGATTTGTGGGTTTTGTTTGATCATGGCTTGCGATATATTGTATGTACTATCTCTAATACTTCAATAAAAATGTTTTTATTTTTTTATTTTCATTAATTTCTTTCGTCCTCCGAATAATTCAAATTGAAGTAATTAATTGGATGTCCGACTCAAGCTTATATGACATGAATTTCATCCCTATGGAGGTTGGGCTTGAATTGGCATGCCTATTTCAGGTTTTCATCTCCGGTGAAAGGTGATATGATTTTAGTAGACCGGATTCCCTCTTATTTAGAAGACTACATACTTATTAGATATAATGCAAAAATATATATATTATGAGGCGATCAAAGCAGAAAATAAAGAAGAGACTAATAAAAAATGTTGTAGGAACAGGAACAACGATAACATCAACCATAATCAAAGCAGAACATAAGAAACACGACATATATACATCAAAATCGATAAAAAAAATAACAACCAATTTATTAAAATAAAACTATCCTACGAAGTAGTAGCGTGAGCATAAAAATCACTATGAAAAAGATGTAAAATAATCGAAGTACAACGGAAAACACCCCACAAATTTTGGAATTACGCTATCTCTAAATATGAGATCTAGGGGAGCCCAAAGCAATCATGCATACTCTATCTACATATCTACAACTATTAAATTACTAATCATATAGCTAGAGCATATACTTTTTATTTACAAAACATATATTTTTTCACTTCTAAGTTTTCTTAATTCCAAGGTATGTATTAATTTTTTTTGTTCACAGGTTGGTATTTCTAATGGTGAATTAACAATTCCCGTTATATCGTAAAAAGTTGAAAATATATATATATAAAAAATCATTAATATGTAGATAATATTAATAATGCTTTTAGAAATATCTCTTGACATCTAGATTTTATCTATATTTCCATCAACATTTCCAGAAATTTAATTCCTTAATATTTTCATCCACATTTTAGATATCGATTAACACGTTCATTTTCTCATTGTGTGTCATTTAATTTTTTGTAACTTTAAATATTTCATTCAAAAAATAAATTGGATGTAAAATATGTCAAAATGTATTTTTAGTACCTAAAATTTAGGTCCATGCTACTTCTAATTCGGTCTCTTATAAACCAGGAGTGATTAAAAGATTTATCAAAATCTGAGGAAAAAAAGAACCAATGCTTTCTAATTAAAATTAAAGAATTACCATAATAAAGTATTAAAAAGTGGGAATTCGAACTTCTAACTTTTAGATCGAAGATATATATTGAGTCCACGAGCTATACGGGTCAAGAGGTTGAATTATCTATTGATTAATAAATGAATAAAGAAGAAAATATATGGTTGGCCATAGCTGAACTCAACCGTAAGGATGTGATGTGTGACAAAGATATTAGCCAAATGACATAAATAAATTATTTTTAAGTCATTTGACGTCAAATTAAAGGGAAAATAACATATATAACACAATATTTTAAATAGTATTACAAATGTTTGTACAACGAAACGAAAGTCGATCAAGGTTGCACCTAATCAAAGGAAGTTAATTGGAAAGAGTTTGAATCTTCTTAGCTAGGAAAGACCTGTACGTGAGATAAACATTCTAGCACTCAAATCAGTTTTAGTTCGACGAGGAATAATGTAATACTTGATGCGGGAGTGAGGCCCTCTATATTTATAGGTTGGACATCCGACGAGTGGTTATTTAAGTTACTTTGAAGGTCGGATTGTCAGGTGTCTAAGGTAGAGAGTTGGTCGGACCTTCTTCAAACCTCGTCTCCAATTTGATTTCTAGTATGCCTTTTATTCCTCTCTTTAGGGGAGAATGCAGCCTATGTTTCAATTTGGTGAASCAATTCTTGATTATGGATGCAGTTTCTTTTTAATCATTTGGGCCATAAATTTTGCACTCTCTAATATTAACATCAACTTATAAATGGTTTTCTTTATATTCTGTAGCTAAGTTTCATTTGGGGAAGATTGAAAAATTACCCTCACATTTTTGGAGTTTTACAAAATTGATTTATTATCTTTTCCTGGTTGGTTGCAGTTCATAATTTGATTAATTAGTGTTGTGAATGGAAAATGTTTGAATTCACAATTTAAATTCTTTTTAATTTTTGTTTAATGTTGTCTATGTAGTACCTTAAGTCATTACTTGTAAATAGACCATTTCGTGTTGGGGGGAATGAGTTTTAGTGGCTACTTACTTTAAATTTAATATCCTTTTAGTTTAATTGGTAACTAAATATAGTAGAATTAAGACGGTAACTAAATGCGGTCGGATTAGAACAATTGTCAAATGTAGTCCAGGTGCGTGCAAGTTTGTTTGTGTACAAATTATATTAAAGAAAAAAACCGAGCAGTTACTTTAGTTTAACTAATAGGGGAAATTTTGAGTTCAGATCTTTGATGACTTATGGTTAATTTAGAATTTGCATCATGATTGTGACTATAAAATGTCACTGGGGAGTGAGTTTTAATTTGTTTAAGTTGTTGACATGATTAGGATGAATTGAGAATTTTACCTACACTTAATGATATGAACGATGATTGAGAGAGTGTCGAGGGAGGGAGATTAGGTTATTTATGATCGTTGCTTAACCTAGCATTTGGTGTCTTGAGATTATACTCGTTCACAAAGCAAAGGAGATGAAGTTTTTAACTAAGTTTATTTTGTAAATTTTGTAACGTTGTAACTGTAAGAAGATTATTTTGTTTAATGTAAATATCATATTATTTGATATTTGCTTAATACCTTAAATTAGGTCTCTCAACGAGAATGTCATTCAGGTTAGTATGTATACAAGAAAAAAAATACATACGTTTTTTAGAAAAAAGGTTGGGATATTTTGACTTTCCCCGGCCCTTTAAAAACCATGGGGAAAAATCACTTTTTCTCGACTTTTTTAGAAAATTCGAGAAACTGTTTTGAAACAGTCAGGAAAAGAATTTTCCCGACGATAACTTTTCCCGATATTTTTAAATAGTAACCTTTTCTCAACTATTTTTATAAAGTCCGAAGAAATTTACTTTTCTTCCGACCTTTTCCAAAAAACGGTCTGGAGTGTTCTTGTTCAACGCACTTTGCTTGACTTTTTTTCCTACGAATTTTTTTAGTCTGAAAAAGTAACTCCCAAATTTTTAAAGCTTTTTCTCGACCATTTAAAACGTCGGAATATTTCTTGTAATGTCTAGTAGGTTTCGTGGCTAAGTACGAGGATCAAACCTCTCAGGTGATCTTTGAGTCTTCTAACCTATCTCCACATGGAACGATTTTTTTTTTCCAACAACAAAATGTATGTACTAATATTTATGAAAATGTTATAAACGTCACTATAATCAAAAATGTTATATATATATATAATTCTTTTAGTTAAAATGTTATTAAAAGGCATATGACGTCATTTTTTTTACATCGAATCAATTATAACTATTATATAATGTTGATGTTGAATTCTATCGAGCTACATAAGATCAGTTTCTTATGAACTTAAAGGGAAACAGATACTCTGAGCGAATTAGGTTAGCATCAGACAAAATTGTGTACCTAAATTGTAGGAGTGACGTGTCCCTTTTATAGGCTAAATTGGGACAAGTCTGACATAGTCGTTCCGATAGGAGATAATTGGACGGTTACAGACTGTCGAATTTGAGGCTAGCTAGTCTTACCCTACTCGATCATATTTACTTGATAAGAATCAGCCAGTCTTATTAACTTCCTCAAGCTGGTCGTCATCGATAGGTCATTTGATCTCTAAGACGGTGCGGATCCTATTAAAATAATCAAGCCGACCCGATTGGTCCATGTCTCATGCTAATTTTTACCCTCCAACAAACGGTATCTTTCAATAAGTTATAAAAATGATTTTTTTGTAGCGTTTTACGAAGCCATGGAATTCGTGAGACATAACTTTGTTTTATTAGTTTTCTAAAACATCGTTTTAACTTTTAATAACTTAAAATATCACACCTATGGTCAAAATGTTACAAAACTTGTGAATAGCTTTTTCCTTAAAGTTATGGAGAGACTTTTTTTCGAGGTACTAAGATCGCTAGAATGGTCTCTAATCTATTAACTGATTATTAATTTGGTTGTTACTCTTTTAAGATTTTAAATTTTATCCCTAACGTATTAAGAACTCTCAATTAGGTCATTGCATTAAAAGAAATATTAAAACTTGTTTATAAAGATTTGATGTAACATTAAATTAATGTCTTATTAAGATATTGAGACAAACATGTGGGATTCAAATTCTAACATAAAATATTGATTAGCGAAATCCAACCTATCTATTAGAAAAAGTTATTTCTTCTCAATAAAATATCCATCACAAAGTTTGACATATATGTTTTTATTAAGAAGATTTAATTGAGAAAATTTTAATACATTGAAAGAGAATTTTTAGAAACTATAGTCTAAATTAAAAATTACAATATCTTCCTAGAGTAGATTTCAATTGTCTATAAAAAGTAAGGGAGAGAAACGAGGATAATAAGAGAGAAAATTATTGATGTCTAATTTGGATCTATGTTTCGACAATGCTCTATGAACATCTACACATCCAAAAAATCCGCACATCATTGCGGTACTAAGCTCAATGGTCTTAGTGAGAATAGCAAAACAAAAAATAAAGTGGTAAAATCGTACTTTACGTTCTAGATCTCTCTTCCTATGTATAGTAGATCTCTCTTCCTACGTGTAGAGTAGATTTTCTTACTTGGACTTTCTCAAGCTTAATATGGTTGGATGGTTTGACCCCTCAATCTATATCCCTAGCCTAACATATGAATTTGGTATGATAATTTCTTTGTGAAAGAAAATTCAAAAGTACTTAAAAATTTAGTGGTGGATAGTAAAAAAATTTTCTACCTCAAATTAGTAGAGAAGTATTATTCAATTTGCTAAAGTATAGTCGAGCAGAGTATATATATCATGGTACTAAATATCTATCCACACATAAACATATTTATTGACATTTCCATGTATCAATAGATTCGACGTCGACATAAAAGGTAAATCGACATTTTCATCATATAAAATTGACAAAATATGAAAAATATCAACAAAATATCATTAATACATATATATAATGTAGCAAAAAACGAGTATACCTCAGTACTAATTAGCATATATTTTCAACCAAGAGGTTGTAAGTTCGATCTCACTTGGACTCAAAATATATATATATATAATATTAACATTAATCATTTTTAATATATTTAAAAATAGAAATATATTTATGTGTTAATTTAAATATTTTTAAAAATTTTTTAATTTCTCTGATTTATAGATATGGATATCCACATTTTATGGGTAAATTAATACTCATTTCCATTGATATACGTATATACGTATATATAACTGAGAATAGTATTTGGAAGGTGTCCGTGAAGGTACGGCGCCACGTGGTAGTTCTCCGGCGAAACCAGCCGTCGAGATTCTACAGTCTCTGAAAGCCACGTAGCTCCCAAGAACACCGCCACCGCTTTGAGAAGCCGCCGTTTATAATCTCAATCCCATCGTCTTTCTCCCAATCCATCGCCACATTTCGAATTCCTTCTTGTAATGGCGGAACCCTCTCCCAACCCCGTCGAGATCGCCGATCAATCTCAATCGGAACCCCTGCCTCCGCCTCCGCCGACGCCGTCTCTCAATTCCGATGCCCGAGGCGGTAATTCGGCCGCCGCTCCTCCGACGGCCGACGGCCGACGGAAGAAGCCCGTTCATCATCTTCTCGGCGGTGCAAAACGTACGCTTCTCCCTCCCTCTTTCTCTCTGTTTGTGTGCAATTTTGGGGGTTTCCGCCCTAATTGGAACATGAAGCCTTTTTTTTCCTTTTCTTTTTTCAAGTTGCTTTTTTTGTTGTAAATATTATAAATATTGGTCTTTAATGATTTTGTGGTCGAATTCTTAGATTTTTTTAGTTCTAAAATGGATGGGGAAATTTGATTCTGTTTATAGTCGATTTTGATTAATTGAATTATATTCATATATATATATGTGTGGAATTTCAATTTAAAAAAAGTTTGAACTTAATTTCGTATAAATTTTCTCTAATACAAGTATCATGACAAGTAGTCAATTTTAACCTGACACCCCGAGACTAAATTGAAAAATGTTAAAACATAGATCAAATTGATACCTTTTAAACCATAAAATTGAAAAAACACCCAAAAATGAACGAACTTACTCTAAATTTTAGAACTATTTCTTTACTCACTATTAAATTATATGTGAGATATATTGTTTTAATTTTATTTTGTTCAATAATTCTTTATGCATTATTTCTTATAAAAGTGAGTTTCTAGTAACCTTTTAAATTTTTGTAGTGTAATTTTTTACCTTATAAGCAAACATTGGCCTACTTGACTTTTGTATCATACAATATGAGTGGCTTGAATAATAATACAATTTAATCCAATCCAACATAAAATAAATATTGACCCACTTAATCTTTTTCAGTACAATCCCATTTAAATATTTCATGGCTGCGAGTCTGATTACATACCACATACAATCACTTAATTATCTTTTATTTATTTATTATTATTTAATACAAGGGTGAGGATTCGAATTTATAGGTGTTTTAGCTCGTCAAGCTACTAATTATCTATAAGTCGGATATAATGGTTGGGTTCAACATTTTTCTCTGGGGTTCAACCATATGCTTTTCGGTCCTAGAATTAACAAGGATGGTCATTCACTAAGAATTCATATCGGTTGTTGGGTCATTCACTAAGAATTTAATTAGTCGAGGTGCGTGTAAATTGATTTGCACACTCGAATGTTGAAAAAAAAAATTATTTCTTAAAAAATGGATTAGATTAGAAATTTTAGAACTTCATGAACCAAGTGTTCGTGGTTAATTGTCCACGGTATAGCTCAACTAGTTTAATAATTCATGGTTAATTGTCCATGATATAGCTCAACTAGTCAACTAAATCTCCGACCTTGCAAAATCTTAGTTTGGCAATAAGAAAGTTGTGGAGAGGCAAGTGAAACATAATCCACTTGAATTCTGAATTCGGGACAGTTAGATCCACTTGAATTCTGAATTCGGGACAGTGAAAGACTGGATTTGTTATCTTAGATATTGAGATTGATTGTAATGATGTGTGTTTTGGGCAGCTGCGGACGTGCTCCTATGGCGGGACAAGAAGGCCGCTGTTGGGGTTCTCGGCGGAGCCACCGTGATTTGGGCGTTTTTCGAAGTGCTTGAATATCATCTACTCCCATTTTTGTGTTATGCTCTGATGTTGGTTCTTGCTCTCTTGTTCCTTTGGTCCAACGCCCACATATTGATCTACAAGTAAGCTTCCACTGTCTCAAACCTCTCTTTCTATCACTAGTTTTCATCCAAAGTCACATTAAACTTTAGTTAGTTCTTAAAGCTTCTAATTAATTCTGATAGTCTTGCCGGGTCTTTAAATAATACGAATCTTTTAGACACAAAATTAAATTTAGGATTCAAAATTAAATTTAGGATCTATGATATTAGATAAATAAAACTTTAGCATGTTTATAGGGGCCCGCCTCATCTTCCAAACGTTCATGTTCGGGAGGAGCCGTTCATGCAAGTTGCTTCTGCAGCAAGGATCGAGATCAACCGGGCGATCGCAATACTGCGTGATATTGCATCTGGGAGGGATGTGAAGAAGTTTATTGCTGTAAGTGCATTCCAATACACAATTTTTAGTCGTGAGCAAATGAAATTGAATTTTTCAGAAGATCAGAGACTAAATTGAAAAATTAGAACTCCGGATTTAGCTTTAGTTAGGTACTTATGCTCTTTTGATTAAGAGTATTATATCTTTCTTTCCTATCAGGTGGTTGGTGGCCTGTGGATCCTATCTGCGGTAGGAAATCAGGTCAATTTTTTGACCTTGTTCTTCATAGGTATATTACTTTCACAATATCCCCACAAAACTCTTACCATTTCAACTTCACTTGATTCATTTCCTCCTCTCTTTCAACAGCCGTCGTACTGCTGCACACGGTACCCGTTGTTTACGAGAAGTACGAGGGCAATATCGACCTTCTTCTAGAGAAGGTCGTGATCGAGAGTAAAAAGAAGTATGCAATTTTCGACGACAAGGTCATGAGTAAGATTAGGAAAGGGCCATTAAGAGAGAAGAAGGATTGAAGAAGGATATATTGAAAGAGCTAAAAAGGTATCCATCTGTGATTCTGTATAATCCCCTCTTCTCTTATTATTCTATAAAAAGCTATGGGAAAGAAAAAGGTTCATCTTTTTTGGCTGCTGCTGATATTGTGTAAATGTTTTTTTTTTTTTTTTTTGGTTTCTAATGTGATTGTATATAATATAGTAACTTTTAGCATTTTGGATTTCTCTAGAAGCTTGTGTTGTAGTAGTAATTTTTCTTTTTGTTTTTATTTTTCTTTTTCAAATCCCATTTGGTCCATGGATTTTATGTGTGATGAATAATGTGGTTGTATGGGTTAATAATTATAATGATTAGAACTTTTATGTGACATTTTGAAATGGAAATGCATTGTTGACCATAGTTTCCTTTTACAAAATCGTGGGGGCCGGGGCGGGGGCGGGCGCGGGCACGATGGGATATAACTCTTCAATAAGTAAATAAGTTAACTCCTGACGGGATAGCTTAGTTGAGTTAGCTTCAGCAGTTGAAGCTTAAATTACAAGGTTTTAAGATTCTATCACTCTTGATATTTTCTCTTTAATTTTCTCCGGAGGAGTATTGGGTTTCAGAGACCTTGAAAAATGTTTTTCATTCTTTATTTTTTATATTCCTTAATTTTATATTTAACAAGTGTTAAAAGGTCATTCAAAAGGTCAATTTATTAAACATAAAATTTGAGTTTAAAAAATTACTTCTTTAAATCAGAAGTATAAGAAGGACGAATAAAACTTGGTCAGTTAAAACTTATCGATCATAAATTTTTAGGGAATTTTTAGGGACTGAAGAGAAGTTGGGTCGATTTTTGAATTGAAAGTCATGATTCCTATTGTGTTGATTATCTTGTCGCTGCTACATGGGTGGACTAAGTAAATTAATCAATAATTTTGGTCTTGAGCCCTATTTACGAAGGTTCGAGTTTACGAATCAATTTGCAATTTTGCTTCTTTTGATTAACTCGTCGCTACTACATGGGTAGAATTTGCTTCTTTGCTTCTTTACATGGGTAGAAATCAATTTGCTTCTTTGCTTCTTTTGATTAACTCGTCGCTACTACATGGGTAGAAATCAATTTGTTTCTTTGCTTCTTTACATGGGTAGAAATCAATTTGCTTCTTTGCTTCTTTTGATTAACTCGTCGCCATGTAGTAATCAATCTGAGAATCATGAATAATATCAATATAAATTATATTAAAAATAATATATTGCTAACCATATTATAAATGATAGAGTTTTGAGTGTCCATAAAAGAATGGCAAAGGAGAAAAAAAGGAGAAAAAAATAGTTATGATGATCTGAAAAAGGTAGTGTTGGTCACTACGTTGGTCATGTTTGCTAACATTTCAGATAGTTGGTGGATCGAGTTGGAATTAAATCAAAGTCAAGAATCGAGTTCTTGAAGTGTCCGGATCAACCCTATTAGATTGAGAAGGACCGAAATTCTAAAGGTAGACAAATCTTTCTTGGTATTTGTTCTTCGTTTTTTATTTTCTATTCGGTCTCTATATTATACTTTTAGATAAAAGATTATTTTGATTTTTCTATTGATCTTTTACTTCATGGGTGGCCAATTTTTCAATGGTAAGGCTCAATTCTTTAGGTTGATCGAACCTCACCAATGTTCTCCAATTGTTAATGGTTGGGGTACAAATAAAAGTAGAGGTTTGACCACAAGAAGGTCAACTAGATCAATGTTTGGAAGTACAAAATAGCTTAGTTCTAGCCATCTAAAGCCCTCGAGAAAAGAAAAGGAACAAAACGGAAGCCAAGGAAAGTATACAAACCTAAGATCAGGAACAACGAAAAGGCTTTGCAACGGTTTGTCAGATTGAAAGCAAAATCCAAAATTATTGTAAGTGTGTGTTGAGCAAGAAGATGTGAAATATTTATAACTGCCTTGAGTTGATCTTAGTCGTTCAATTTAGGGTACGATGGATGGCCTAGCAGATTGAAGAAGATCGATTGTCACACTCGACTATTCTGGAGAACCGCCAGATTTATTCTTCAAAATTCGCTTCGACTCCCGCTCACATCAAAAGCACCATCGTGTGTCATGACAAATGTCTACATGGAGCCATTAGACCTTTGAAATCGTTGATCATAATTTACACGTGGCATCCCAATGCGTCATATGTCACTTGGGAACATTTCTTTGAAAATTTGGTTCGATTAAGTTACCCAACTCTCCAAAGTGGGGCCAATATTAGGAGACGCAATTTTTTATATGCTATGCATCTTAAATTGAAGATCGGAGTTATGTTCAGCTTACATAGTTCGGATTATAAGTTAAGTTCAAACCATAGATCACTAAGCTCGGATTATAAGTTAAGTTCAAAGAGAAACAATTTGTAGTTTAAGGGTGGAAATCGCCTAATAACTGCACAACTTTCACTAATTGTGGAATTCTAGCCGAGATCGTGCGTAGAAGAACATCTATGGATACCACGAACGATCATAATCACAGAGTCTCAATCAAGATTTACGGAACGTATGTAGCGGTCAAAATTAAACTCTTATAAATGCCTAGTCCACCCCTTATTTTGTTCAACTTAACATGATAAAACTTATTTGAGCTTTGGAGTGCTAACTTTATTTGTCTGTCCTTACATATCCGAATCTCGATGACTGAAACACTACTACTAATTGAGAAAATTGAGAGAGTTAAAAGAAATATAATTTTGAAATTGGTGCTAGATTAAAGAATAAAATGAAACATGTAGGTAGTTCTTTGAAAGTTTGTTTGAGGTCCCACGTTTGTAGGGAATCTAATCTCAAAACTACTTGGGGCCTGGGGGCTAATTAATTTAGTAAAGTAAACTGAATTAACCAAATTAACATAAAACACCAAAAACGGAACCTTTATCGAGAACAGAAATGCATAGTGTAGCTGACAAAATTCTTATTAATCAAATAATTAACAAACATATATTTATATTTATGAATGTAACCTGCATGAAGGCATAATAATCTAATTTATATCAACTAATCAGAACACCAAACCATGGTTCTAAATAACCATCGACGACATTTTCATCGACATATCCATGTTTCCATGAGTTCGACAGGGCGAATCGACATTTCTATTATAGTACAAAAATATCAACAAAATGTCATATTGACTATTTTTAACTAATTTAAAAATGGAAAATAGTATCTGTTAATTTAAATATTTTTTACGATTTTTTAATTTTATAACTTTTACAGGAATATCCATCGACATCGATATTTTCATGGATATTTACATTTCCATCGAGACATCGACATTTAAAATATTGCACTCAACATTAATTCTTCCTGGATAAAAAAATATATTGAAAGAAAATTAAGTAGTGTCTACCTTTAATCAGAAAGATCTAAAATTCTTTTCCAATTTTGTATGTTAATTAACGAGGGCACATTTTATTTGTCAAAAAGAAAAGTTACATATTCCATTCAATGATTTGAGTACAATGATCCGAGGAAAGGACAAAGGATACAGAATTTTTTTTTTTTTTTTTTTGTGAAAATCCAAATATCTGATGGATAGAGAAATAGAAACTTGTCGAAATGACTTGATATATTTAACACTTGGAAAAATAATTGTAAGAGGAGAAATTATCAAACTAAAAATTAGAAACTAACTAATAATTATAGAAATACTTTACAATTTTCCCTTTGGGGTAGGAAAATCATGATCGGGATAGCGGATCCAAAACTATGGAACTTGGTTGTGGGTATATAGGTTTCTTCTTCTTCCTTTTAAATTTATCACGTGAGGATGGGGATTCAGGATTCAAACTTCCAACATCATAGCTTTTTATTTTCCTTTTAAATTTAACACATGAGGACGGAGATTCAAACTTCCCCCTGCTTCGACCAATTTATAAATCATTTTAGTTGGAACTGATTATTTCTTACATCGATACTAAATTGGTTATTCAGCGGTCAAAATTGTAACAGTGCTAAACCCGAAAACAAAAGAGGACTCTTATCTTTCTATTTCATTAAGGGAAGCACTTAGATATGTCATCTTACCTTAGTGGTAAAACATAACTCTTATCTTACGGGAAGCAACAATATCATATAAATCGAAAGTGGTAAAATTGTCCCTAAAACTATGGCATTTACTGTATAAATGCAACTGCTGATATGTTTTTTCGAACATTGTTTGTAGGTTATAATTTAAAGTTCAGAATTTTGTCACTTCAACCTGAAAAGAATAAATAAATAAAAGAAAAGAAAAGAAAGAGTTTGCTCGATTCTGAAAAATGGAACTCAAGATTTGCACAAGGAATGTCAATGAAACTTACAAACAATCAACAACGAATCATGATTAGAAGCAAAAACATCGTATCGAATCGAATCAAAACATCATGTTTATTTCACTATTTGCCCATGGGAGATGCAAACATCTAAGTTGAGAATTTTTAAGCTATCAGAAATATGGCGAAGTCGAGAAACTTAGATCTCTTCGAACAATTCTACCAGGTGAACTGAACTCTAACCACTCGAGTAAAAGAATTAATGAACATTACACAGCTTTATCATCATTAACAAACAATATTCTGCAGTTTTCTTTTAATTACAAAATTCGATGAAGAAGATCTCAGTATTTCGGGGGCGTTCTTGACCTAGAACCTATAAGTGTTCTCCGATGATGTGAGAGGAACCGTAGAGAACTCGGAATCAGAATGGTGTCTTGAAGGACGAAAATCACCACCAAAGGTATGGTGAGCTGATTGCTGCTGGGAAGGAAAACCTGTTCTTGAAGAATCATATGTTGAAGCAGTTGGCTTTGTTCTGGGATCAAGTAACTGCGGACTGGGACTTGAAGCACTCGGACTGCTAAGTTGCGACTTTTCCCGAAGCCTGAGGCTTTCCTCTGCTTCTCTCTTCTCTCTTTCTTCATTCTCCTTAAGAAGAAAGTCAACCCATAAATCTGCAAAGGACTGAAAGGAAAATCCAAGCTTAGAACAGAGACTTCTAGCTTTGTTGATGAAGATAAAGTGGCACACTACGCCCCCAAACACATATAAGCAAGCACATATAAATAGAAGCAAGGTTCAAGTTATATTATGGTCCATTAAGTTCAATATTTATTCTATTCTGGTCCTTGAAACTTTAAAATTTTCTATTTTAATCCTTAAACTTTCAAAAAGTAACTATTGCGATCTTTGCCATCATTCTATCATAATTTGTTTAATAGATGGATAACTTGACTTGGTCCTTGGAATATGCATGCTTACATATTGATGTGACCATATATTAAAATCACAGGCCGCGTTTTGGATGGTACGAAAATTGATGATAGACTATCAATAAAGACCAAATTGATGATAGAAAACCATAAAAACCAAAAGTTCAGAGACTAGAATGTATTTTGAATAAATTTGAAAACTCAGGACCAAAATAGGATTTCCCAAAAACAATGATCCTATTGAACGGAAAACAAATAAATCTACAGAATCAAAGCTACCAACTTTTCTGTCTCGTTACAAGTGACGCACCTGATTTTCAGAGGCCATGTTAGTCGGCGTCTCCGCTGAGCCTCCTCCCAAAATTCCACCCACCAGGCGTCCAGGGAAGCCCAAAACTCCACGTACGACACCCTTGCTTGGACCTTGTCGAGCAGCTCCTATCCTCTGCTTGTCATCTTCAGAAAATCCAAGCATACGGACCATAAGATCCAAAACCTGTATATGCAGAGCACAATAACTGATTGAAAATTTTAGAAAGGGAAGAAAAGCAGGTATGAGAGTGCAAAGCCAACTGGGGTCTTTGCCTAGCCTCATTGTGCATTTTGCTATGGTGCTTTGGAAGGATAAATATAAATACCCCAAAATGTGCAACTTCTTTTATGGAAAATCCTTCCTGAAAGCATTAAGACTCTACACAAATTTCAACAAAGAAATCCTAATAATGGAGCTCCACCTAGATCCCTTACGGAAGATGCTAAGTTTTCCTTGCTTCAATCCCCCGTTTAAAGAAAAATGCTAAGACTCTACAGTGCAAAACGTTTTTGGCCACCCTGATGCATTTGGCTTCCAACAAAACCGTACCATTATGCTTTTTTCCTCTATTTGATCAAACTTTTCAAAATATCTTTTTTTAGCACATAGCTAATGACACCTTAGAAGGAAACAAGAAGGGAGGATTTATTTATAAAAATAAAATAAATAAATAACCCATTCTGTATTTTCACTCGCCAGAAGTTATAAGATGAACATTCCATAGATTTTCACTTCCCTGTAGAATATGACATCCATATTTTTGCTCACATTATTAATTAATAACTACTTCTATAATAATACAGAAACAAGCAAAGTAATAAACTTCAATTATGTTTTTAATTTTGATCCTAGTCGAACTTGAATTTCACTCCAAACAATGAAACAAGTTATGTTATAGTGACCACATGTCGCAGGCATGGTAAATGCGGGGATATGGTAAATGCAGGGGATAAAAACACGGAGCTTATATTATGAATATGTTGATTAAAAAAGATACCTCTTTGCTATGGTTTCTCTGAAAGTACGTCACCAGTAATTTGATTACAATACGCCTGCCAAAATTCCCAACAATCATCAGTATTACAACTCCACAGGATCGAATTGCACAGAAACAACATAAATGAAGGTGTTGCTTCAAGACCAGAATCAGATGTGCAGAGAAGAGGGGTTATGAAGTACATGGTCCTTCAAAAGAGTAGATAAAATGGGGGATATAACCAGGATTTCAATTTGGAGAGACAATAATGTTGGTTAGAAGACAAGGAGTGCGTTCAATTAATTGAATCTAAGCTCTCGGACGACATTTCCTATGGATGGGCAGGTTTTGTCATTTCTTCAAAACTTAGAAATCTCAAAACGGTTCTTAAGCAGTGGAATATTCAAAATGAAAAGAAGAGGAAAGAAGCAGAAGAGAAGATTATTTCGGAGATTGCTTTACTTGATGAAACAGATGAGTCCATGGGAGTTTCTTTGGCAGAGGAGGAGACGAGAGTTTCATTGAAGAAGGATCTTTTGAATTTATTCTTAAATGAAGAACAAAATCTGATCCAGAAGTGTAAGATACATTGGCTGAAGAATGGGGATGAAAACAGTAAATTTTTTCATAAATTTTTGGCTGCTCGGAGAAGAAAAGCACAGATTACTGAGATAAAGAACTCCGAAAATATATCCCTGCTAAATCAGAGGGAAATTGAAGCAGAAATCATTGGGTTTTTTGAAAATTTGTATAAGAGAGAGGCTGTCCAAAGATTTTCTCCCAAAGGGATCAACTGGAGACCCCTCTCGAATCATTACAGTAACCGGTTAGAAAGACCATTTGATGATCTTGAAATATGGTCAGCTATTAAATCTTTTGGCAAAAATAAGGCCCCTGGACCTGATGGCTTTACCATTGAGTTTTTTGCCAAATTTTGGCAACATTGGAAAGGGGATTTTGCTTTGACTTTTTGCAGAATTCTACACAAGTGGTATTATAAATGCTTGTATCAAAGATACTTACATTTGTCTTATTCCTAAGAAGGATGTTGGGGACAAGGTTAAAGACTTTAGGCCCATTAGTCTTACGACCTCCACATACAAATTATGGCTAAAGTCCTCACCGAGCGGCTTAAGAAAGTTATATCCAGCACAATCTCCATTAATCAGAGCGCTTTCATTGAGGGTAGACAAATTCTAGACCCAATATTGATAGCAAATGAGGCGGTGGATTTTTACAGATTACAGAAAAAGAGAGGTTGGCTTTTAAAGCTAGACATTGAGAAAGCTTTCGATAAGGTGGATTGGGATTTTCTGATTGCAGTCCTTAGGAAGAAAAGATTTGGAAATAAATGGATTCAGTGGATTAATGGGTGCATTCGAGGAGCTAAATTTTCAGTCTTCATAAACGGTAGGCCTCGTGGAAGAATTCTTGCTTCGCGTGGCTTACATCAAGGTGATCCCCTTTCACCATTTTTGTTTTTATTGATCGGTGATGTTCTAAGCAGCTTAATGGAAAACATCCACAATAGAGGTTTGTTTGAAGGTTTCATTGTGGGGAGCAATTCGGTGCATATTTCTCATTTACAATTCACTGACGATACATTGCTATTTTGTAAGGATAATGAAGAGATGTTGGATGTCCTTTTCAATACTATAAAGGCATTTGAACGGCTTTCGGGCCTTGAAGTAATTTGGGAAAAATCTTCACTGTGCGGAATTAATATTCACCTTCAAAGGGTGGTTAGGGTTGCAAAGAAGTTTGATTGTAAGTTTGAAACACTGCCTATTGTTTACTTAGGTCTACCTTTGGGTGGAAATCCTAAAAATATTGATTGTTGGAATCCCATCAAAGAAAAAATCATGAAGAAGCTCGATAGATGGAAAAAGTACCAGCTTTCTCGTGGAGGGAGGTTGACTCTTTGCCTCTCGGTTCTCGGCAGTATTCCATTGTACTTTTTATCAATATTTCAAATGCCAGTTCTCATTAGCAAACAGATTGAGCAAAGTTTGAGATCATTTTTCTGGGGAGATAGTCAGAAGAGTACATTGAAACACTTGGTTAGGTGGGATATTGTCTCTTGTTGCAAGGAAGAAGGTGGTTTGGGTATTGGAAGATTGTTGCATAGAAATCATGCTTTGCTAGCCAAATGGGGCTGGCGGTTTAGTATAGAAACTTCAGCTCTTTGGAGGCAAGTTGTGGCAAGCATTTACGGTATTGACCGTTTTAACTGGAATGTTTCTCGGAAAAAAATTGGTAGTCGTCGTAGTCCATGGTTTTGCATTAAAAAACCGTGGTCGTTGGTGGCAAACTTCACCTTTTTCAGGGTTAAGAATGGCAAACGAGTTCTATTTTGGCACCATTTATGGCTGGGGGATTCTATCTTAAAGGATAGGTTTCCATCCTTATTTCGGATCTCTTCTTCTCCTTCTATACCAGTCCATGATGCTTGGGACTCACATTCTTCTTCTTGGAGAATTGAAGTTAGGAGAATGCTAAAGGATGAAGAATTGGAAGAATATTTATCTTTGCTGTCATGTTTAAATCCGATTCAGCTTTGTGATGATGAAGATCAGTTGAAATGGAGTTTAAACTCTTCTGAATCCTTTTCGGTTAGCTCCCTTTGTAAGCCTAGAGTTGGTCCTTCATCTCTGCCTAAGGATTTTGTTTCAAGATTGTGAAATTCGTGCGGCCCAAAAAGGGTGAATGTTCTAACATGGATTCTCCTTAATGGGAAAGTAAATACTTCCAAAACTCTCCAAAAGAAGCGGCCTAACATGCTCCTCCAACCTTCTATATGTGTTTTGTGTGCTGCCGCTTGCGAAGACCAAGCGCATTTGTTTCTCTTTTGTCCTTATGCATCAGTTTGTTGGGATCTTTTCTTTCATATGTTCAATTTAGCTTCGGTAAAGGACAAGTCAGTATCTTCATCAATTTTTCAGTTGCTATTTGGTCCTTTCTTTTCGCCTAAAGCAAGTCTTCTTTGGGTAAACGGCCTTAAAGCGCTTATATCTGAGTTATGGTTTGAGCGGAATCAGAGGACTTTCGAAGGAAAAAGCCGCTCAGCTTTCGAATGCTACAGTATAGCTAAGTTCAAAGCCTCACAATGGTGTGCTCTCTCCAATCTCTTTGCAAATTATTCTCCTAGCATGATTTGTTCTAATTGGGAGGCTTTTTTGTGTAATGTTTAAGCTTCATTTATTAAGTTTGGTTTGTTTGTATCTTTTTATTTTTTTATTTTTATTTTTTTCCCTTCTTCATCCCCTTCATTCCACCCCTTTGGGGGTTTGTACCTTTGAACAATTTTTTGTTCCTTTTCATTTATCAACGAAAAGTTCGTTTCTTGTTAAAAAATAAATAATGGCTAGTCAACCAAACAATTGTTGGTAGCTTGTCTTCGTGGAACTTAACAATAGATTTGTTCCTTGGCAATTTGGAAATGCAAAGGTCCTAAAAAGGTAGGTATTTTTGCGAACAGCTTGTCTTCATGACCTCAATACAGTTGATATATTAGTGCCTAGATGCCCCGTGATGGCCTTAAAACCAACTTGATGTTCTTTTTGCTTGGACGATTTCAAAGCCATGGATCCTGAGTTATTCAGGTGTTCCTTTGGCAAGAAGATATGGGTTTCTTTTTTACAAATTTATGGTTTTTTCTTGGGTTTCTTATTGCTCTATAGATGGTAACTTGGTGTAGTTAAGTGGAAAGCAAGGATTTGTTACTCTTTATATGGTTCCAACCTTTGGGATCTGTATCGACGAACCTTTATTTATTTTCATTATATCATGAAAAGGTTTCTTTCTTGTTAGAAAAGGAAAAAGTGGAAAGCAAAGATTCCGTGGGTCAATGATATAGTAGTAGAGTCAGTCCCTTGGAACTTGGTTAAAAGGCATCAACAGATTATATATATATTTTTTTTTATTTTTAAGAAAAGGTTATTCAGTAGTAGACTAAACGTGTGCAATACAAGTGGACTTGGAAAAAATGAGAGAGGGTGTAAATTCCAATTCAAAAAATAAAAAATATTGTGAGGATTTACCTGTCAACAAGATAATCTGAATCCACCGACATCCTATTAAGCCTTGTCATACTCTGGTCAAGGGCACGGCGCAGCTTTGAATTATCTTCCTCGAGTTTATTTACTCTGCTTTTCCATTCTGCCAAAGCCCTCTCAGCAAGTGAAAGCTGTGCCGAAATTTCTTCCGTGTCCTTCTTTAATGCATCTTCTCTTTGGTTAGCATCCTGGATTATGACACAAGGTATTATTAAGCAAGAATGACAGAATCAAAAAAGGAGAGGTGAAGGAAACAAACATTGTTCGTACAACTTACTTAGTAGCCAGATCTCATCAGTAAACAATGTAAGCAATGTGAATCTTTAAATAAAAAACACAAGTACCATATCAAATCAAAATGTGAAAGATGAGAATGCTGAAAGTCCAGATGCTCATTAAGAGCCTGAAAAAGATAAGTTGACCACTGATACTGATAACTTCACTAAATCCGTGAAATTATCTATAATTCTTCACTAATCCCATCAGTGAGGAGAGACTGAATTCCAAACGGGCAAGACATTATTGATTACTATATCACAAAGATACGAATATATTGAATGTTTGTGCCTGATCACATAAGCTATCCAACTGACAGAAATATATTTCTTTAACATTAACGAATTATTTTTTTAGAAAAGAGCAAGAACTCTCGGTACCAAAAAAAAAAATGAGGTTATAAATAAAGGTTAGAGTCGTTAGACGAAAGCACTGGATAACAAAAATAGACAAAACATGTAAAAGAGTTTAAAGTAAATATATATAATAGAGAGAGAGGGGCACCAAGTCCACAACCACATGCGTGTATGTACTGATGTGCATGTCTAAAGAGTCCAGTCCATTCCCTACTATTCACATAATTTCTAAGAGAGAACATGTACATAAACAATTTTTCACTTATTACTCCATCTTGTGGTGTCTGACAAACAATTTTTTGCAACCTTCAGTAGACATCCCCCTTCATATCCCACCATTTGGAAGGGAAAACACTGAAATTTAACTCAACCCTATGATCAAAGCTCCAAACTAACTTTTAATAATTTAGGTCTTAGTGAGTGGGTGACTTCTCACATCCTGTCGTCTTTTTGCCTTCTTCTAATGCTTCAAATGAAAGTGGGACAGAAACAAGTAACAATGTCCAACTACATGCGTAAATACACAAATAGGGGCGGCAAAATTTTGCATGGGATGGGACCCCATGGGGTTGGAAGCTCCTATTTAAGATGGAACTAAGTAGGAGACAGGAAAAGAAATTATATCCAACTTAATGTCAAAGACAAACACGGAGAATATATGTCTTGACATGCCCAGTGTCACGGTCGTACATTTTTCAACCGCGCAGCGCCATGATCTAAG